TAATGTGTGGGTGTGTGTGTGTGTGTGTTAGTATTATGTAACCATATTACATACTGTGATTTATTTATATTTACCTACATCAGTGATTTTATAATATGCTAATGTTCATTATCACTTTCTTCATCACTTTCACTGTCTGATGAATCAGAAACACTAGACAACAACGGAAAGTTGCTGCAGAAACTCCCTTCTGCTTTGCAGTTACACATCTCAGTACACTGAAGATTATTTCTCCTACACGTGCATGTACTATTTGAACATGTACATATTGAACAGGTACATCTGATAAGCTCAGCAACTGCTTCAGGGGCAGCCTGCTTTTCTGACAAGACAGGTCTCAATTTGTCATCTTCCATAACCCAGCCCAGTTTGCATGGATCAGGGATTTCTGGATGAATAACAGTATTCTGGCTCCATATATTGGCCTGCAGATGTACACGCAATATATGCTGATATAAGGCTCCTGCAGTTGGTGGCAGCTTATCTACACCTTGATTGTTTGGCAGAGTTTTGAATCTTTCCCATCGTAAAGTTGAGGCATCTTTAGCAGATACTTTCTTCGTTCCGAGAAGACTACACAAATTCCAGTATTCATGCCAAGCTGTGGAAGTCTTCTGAAGATCAATACAAACCAGTCTGTATCATTTCCAGATTCAGAGGCCACTTCTATGCCATGGGGAATCATTAGATTATCAGATTCTTCGTGTGTGCTTACAGCTGTTGGTGGAGGATGCTCTGGAGTTTTTGTTTTGACATCTTGCCGTGTGAATTGTGACAGGTACCGCTGAAACCAGGAGAAGAGTGGCTCTTCAGCCAATATACGATCATCTTGGACCAGAAAGAGCAGTGACACTACCAGGCTTCCATGCTATCCCCGGTTGTGATAAATATTTTCAGGCCCGTAGCCAGGTTCTTTCAAGGGGGTTTTCTGGGCGTGAGGTCCACGGTCGAAGCCCCGGTGGTGTCGGCAAAACCCCCAAAGCAAGGGGATTGGGATTTTTGTGCTTTAAGGGTCTAAATACTGCTATGAAAGCAGATTGTTTGAAAAGGTCTTTGTCTGGGTGGGTCTGCAGTGCACCAGGTGGGTTTGAGGACTTATTTGGGATATCTGAAGAGGGGGGTTCGCCAGAAAAGAGGGAGGTTTGCTAGAAAAGGGGGGTTCTTCCGAACCATAAACCCCTAAAATCCCCCCTGGACACGAGCCTGATTATTACAGGGCATATAAATGGTGTTGGAAAAAACAGCCCTTAAGATGTTTATGAAATCCCCCCCTCATGTTTACATGCTTTGGTCAAGCTTGGGATCATTTAATGTGAGAATGGGATGCAAGGAGTTTTTGTGTAGTCTTCTCTGAACGAAGAAAGTATCTGCTAAAACGCCTCAATTTTACGATGGTAAAGATTCAAAACTCTGCCAAACAATTAAGGGGTAGATAAGCTGCCACCAACTGCAAGAGCCTTATATCAGCAGACAGTATATTGCATGCACATCTGCAGGCCAATATATGGAGCCAGGATTCTGTTATTCATCCAGAAATTCCTGATCCATGCAAACTGTGCTGGTTTATGGAAGATGGTAAATTGAGACCTGTCTTGTCAGAAAAGCAGGCTGGCCCTGAAGCAGTTGCTGAGCTGTTGTCTAGTGTTTCTCATTCATCAGACAGTGACAGTAATGAAGAAAGTAAATTATAAAATCACTGATGTAGGTAAATATAAGTAAATCACAGTATGTAATATGGTTACATAATACTAACACACACCCACACACTATATATATATATATATATATAATGTATATATATATATGTATATATATATATATGTATATATATATATTTA